CGCCTGCGCCCCACCACTGTCGCCGGGGCCCTACCCGCCTCCCCCCAAGAGGCTCCCCCCGACGCGCGCACCCGCACTCACCCCGCGGCGGCGGCTGTGCCTCGGCTTGCTCACGTTCTTGGTTACCTTGTGGCCCTTGTTGAGGCCCACGGCCATAGGGTAGCGCAGAGCCATGGCTGCAGACGCGGATGGGGAGGGGAAGAGATAAGTGCGGGCTCGGTCCCCGCCGCCCGGAACCCCGCGTCCCGGCTCCCCGGGGCTCGCTCGCCGCACCCAGGCGCAGCCCTGAGCCGCCCCGGGGCCCCGGAGGCCGGATGGCAACAGATCCCACACACCGAGCCCCGGACTAACCTGCTGCTCCTCAATGGCTCCCGCGGCGGAAGGGCTGTAGGCCCGCGGAACTCTGGGATATCTAGCTTCCGCGGGTCGAGCGAGCCAGAGAGGCAGGAACGCCGCGCACTCCCCCTGGCGGCTGGAGGCCCTGCGGTCTCCATGAGCATGCGCGAACCATCTCCCTGCGCATGCGCGCTTCCACTAGCCGACCAGCACTAGCTTCGGCCGTGGGTGCGGTGACTCCCTTCGCCGGTGGGTTGAGAGTCCGAATCCTACTTTTGCAGGCTCCTGGCTGAAATCCCACCTTGGCCACTGGCTTGCTGACCCTGCGCCAGGAACTTTACCACCCGGCACCTGAATTTCTTCATTTGTAAAAGGACAGTAATAGTACCTATTCCAAACTGTTTAAGATACAATGGTACTTGGCACAAAATAAAACTTCCATAAACAGATTTTGGTTTCAATCTATATGATCCTAAATTCTTAGAACTGAAGATGTGGTATAGTGCCCCCTGATGGCACTTGATATAATTTGATGTAATTTTAGCTGGTTCCGGGACAGCAGGCAGGGTTGAAACAAAACAAAACAAAACAAAACAAAATTTCTGGTTTTTTATCTTTCACTTCTACTTATCCCCAAATGATGGTCCCAGTTTGGGGCTGATCTGTTTGGGGTTAACCCTTGTAACCCTTGCTCATTCTAGAGCCCTGCATAGCCAACAGCTATTGTAACATTGTATTTGTTCTGTAGTTTTTATTTGTATAGTTGCTTTTTCCTTATGCAAGTGCACTAATTTATCATTTTAGGGAGAGGAGGCGTCACGTTTTCACTAACTGATACAAATATCAGTGATGTGCAGGTAGAGAATCCCAGCTCCTGCCACCCACGTCCAGCCTCTCTCTAAGCACCTTCCCTTCCCTATGAAATGGGAACAGTGGCAACACCAGCTTCAGATTGTGATGATGCCATGAGATCAGCGATGCCAAGGGCTTAGTGCCTGATACACATTATCATTATTGCTGCGCAACCCCTGGACTTGATGCTGCAAATAAAACCTCTGTGCCAGTCAGTACTCTTCTTTTCACCCGTGACTTGCTAGGCAAGGGCTGCCTCTCGCTCGGCCTCCATTTCTCCCCTCTAAAATAGGGTTGACAAGTCTGGTCCCCATACACAAACTCCTCTTGACCCACCTGCCACCTGCAAACTGGAAGGACCAAGCAATTTGAACACACATGTGCAAGGGTAGAAGGATTTTTATAATGAAACAGGAGGCTGGGTCCAGCCCAGAACACCGTCTTTCCCTCCTCCCCCCACCTCAGAACCCATCAGCAGGTGGACAGTTTCAAGGTTGTCCCTTGCTTGGGGCAACGGTAGGGGAATGCTCCAAAACTGAGTGGAAAGAAGAGATCGGGGCTGCAGAGGATCCAGGTGGGAGATGGACAGGGTTCCCAGGGTGGCTCAGGGGTGGTGTGCCCTGTTTCACACGGCCAGGGCCGTGGCGAAAGTCACATCACCTCTCTGAGCCTCAGTTTTCTCGTCTGCAAAATGGAAGCAGCAACCATGTCATCAGTGGTGGCCCGGAAGGCTGAGGTCATGACTTCCAGGTCACTGACAGGGTTCCTGGCACACGATCAGCACTTGCACACCGGGAGTGGTGACCGTGTTTCCAGGTGCTGGTAGTATTTCTCGGTTTTCCTTTTCTGTCTTGGTGACTCTGTCTTGAGCCACGGCCACCGTCTCCGAGGTGTCTCGGTTCGTGTCCCGGCTCCGGGACGGCTGGATAGAGGGTTCCCCTCTCTGGGAAGCTGAAGGGGTGCCACCCGCAGCAGCTCAGGCAGCAGCGGCAGCGGTGACGTTGAGCTCCTGGCGGATGAACCAGGCCCTCGGGTGCGGCAGCCATCCCCGGAGCAGACAGAGCAGGCGGAAGCGCCATGGGTAGAAGACGCCGGGGGCGCGTGTGGCGCCGCCGCGGATCACGGCCAGGGCCGCCTTGGGCCCTGGGGCCGCCTTGGCCCTCGTGACGCCCCTGGGGACAGGAGGGTGCGGTGGAAACTGAGGCTGGGCGGCCCCTCACTGCCCCTGCCCCTGTTGGCCCCGGGCCTCACCTGACTCCCTCGGCGGGGGAGGCGCGATCCCGGAGGCCCAGGACACACATCGTGATGGCCACGTTCACGTCCTGCACGTCTAGCTCCCGCCGCAGAGAGCCGAAGAAGCCGTCCAGAGCGAACTTGGCTGCCGAGTACGGGCGGGAGAAGGATGTGGGCACCTGGCCTAGGAGGGCGGGAGGGCAGCAGCTGAGTGACCACCGCCGCTCCCCCTCCTCCAGGGGGCCTTCCTGCCCTGGGGCTCGGCCGCATCGAGCCCTGTGGCCTCCCGACTCTCCGCCCCGCGTGCACGCACCGAGCAGCGAGGACACGACCACCAGAGAGCCTTTGCTGTCCGTCAGGCTGGGCAGCGCCAACGAAGTCAGCTGCACGTAACTCACAAAGTTCACCTGGAGGTGGCGACGGCGAGTCACCGAGCCGCGGAGAAACTCGAGCCCGGAAGGGGCGGGGCTTTGAGGCGTGGGCGGGGCCTCGGGCGGGGGGCAGGGCCTGCGGTGGGGATTTAGGAGGGGGTGGAGTCTGGGGATTGGAGGGACGGGGCGCTGGCCGCGGAGGGGCGGAGCACCTGCATGAGCCAGCGTGTCGCCTGGACGCTCCTGGACCGCGAGCCTGCCGGGGTGGCGCCGAGGTGGTTCAGCACGAGGTAGTCCAGTCCTCCTGGCCCGGAGAGGCCCATCAGCAAGGAGCTAGTCCTTGAGGCTCCGCCCCTGGGCCCGAAGAGACCCCGCCCCTAGCGCCGTCGCCTTGAACTAGCGACGCCTCGGCCAGAGCGCCGACCCAGTGAATTCGGCCCCGGGTGGCGCCCCGCCTAATAGCAAAGAGACCGGGCCCTCCTCCCTGCATCCTGCCAGGCTTCGTCCCTGATCCAATGAGGCCCGGTCCAGAGTTCCAGCCCCTGGCCACGCCCCGGACCCCGTAAACCTCCACCCACCGACTACCACGGCCCCACCCCATTCGGGTCTTGCCCCGAAGGCCCCGCCCCTCACCCAGCTTGTCCAGCGCGAACTGCACCACGCTCTCGGGCACCTCAGGGGAGGCCATGTCCGCAGCGATGTAGAAGACCTTGGGAGCGCCCAGCTTCCGGCAGTTCCCTACCACCTGGGGGGGCCAGAGCTGCCCGTGGGCCCGTCCACCCCAGCCGGCCCCCACCCCCACCCCCCGCCACCTGCTAGGCCACTGGGGCCCCAGCCTAAAGCCCCCTCCCCTACTCCGAGCTTCAACATCCGCCATCATTCATTCTCAATTCTCAGCGCGGGCTGTGGACACTACCCATCCGCCCACTGACTGAGGAACCCTCCCGGATTTACCCCCGCTGTTTCACTGTACCAACCCAACACCATAACCCACGAGAAGGTACTTTTATTGTCTCCGGTTTGCAAATGAGGAAACTGAGGCACAGCGGTTAACCAACTGGCCTCAGGTCACACAGGAAGCCTGGACCGTTGCAAGGATTTCAGGAAGCCCGGGCCCCGCTTTCCACCCACGCGCACCCGGCCATCAAACGGGAAATGGGATGTCTCACCTTCTGCAGGAGGGCCTCCGTGTGGGCAGTGAGCACCAGGTGGGAGCCCAGGCGGGCGTAGTGATATGCCAGTTCCTCCCCGACGCCCG